AGGCTGCCCCGACCAGGCCCCCACTGATTCGGTTCTGCTGACCTAGTGCCCTCTGACCAGGCCCCCACTGATTCGGTTCTGCTGACCTAGTCCCCTCTGACCAGGCCCCCACTGATTCGGCTCTGCTGACCAGGCTGCCCCGACCAGGCACCCACTGATTCGGTTCTGCTGACCAGGCTGCCGCGACCAGGCCTCCACTGATGAGGGTTCACTGATGAGGACACACCCACCAGATCCTGTTGACTAGGTCCCATGTGACCAGGCCTCCACTGAATAGGACCAGTTGACCTGGTCACCAGTGACCCAGCCCATGCTGACAAGGACAACAGTAAGCCCCACATGACTAGGTCTCTACTGAGCAAGCACCGCAGCCCAGGTTTGCACTGACCAGACACCAAATAACCAGCTGCCCCTAAATCTCCCCTCACCAACACCCCACTACTAGGTCCCCCTGATGAGGCTCTCTCTAGGCAGACCCCTGTTGACCAGGCCCTCACCAAATAGGCCTCACTGACAAAGTCCCCACTGACCAGGTCCACACTGATCAGGCCCCTCTGACTAGGCCCCCCTGGCAAGGCCAAAGTGACGACGTGCTTACTGGCCAGGTTTCAAGTGACTAAACCCCAGTGACTACACCTTCACTGACAAGGTCCCCTCTCATCAGGGCCTCACTTGCCAGGCCCCCAGGGACCAGTGACTAGGCTCCCAGTGACCAGGGGGACCTTGGTCCTAAATTTCTTTAAAGTCATGTTCAGGCAATGTGATGTTTGAAAAACCACTACTAGCTTTGTCCACAGATTTAAGTTATCAAAAGTTACCCAAGGTAGTTTTGACATCGAATGCAGCTTTAAACAATTAAAAAAAAATGATACTAGGTTTACTTCTCAAAGCAAATTATACAAGAGAGCCCCCAACCCTGTAAACTACACACTAGGGTCTGGGAGGAAATGGGGGAGGGATGGGGGGGGTGGGGAGGTGGGGAGAGATAGCATGGGGAGAAATGCCAGATATAGGTGAAGGGGAGGAAGGCAACAAATCATGCTGCCATGCGTGCACCTATGCAACAATCTTGCATGTTCTTCACATGTACCCCAAAACCTAAAATGCAATAAAAAAAAGAAAAAAAAAACCTAAACATTCTGACACAAATGCACAAAATTAAGTTGGCAACATTAAGGAAAATCACATTAATTCTGAGATACAGAGTGTGATGTTGAGCAAACTCTTGGCCTTGACTCTTGAAATAATTTCAGAGCAGTTCTCAGTTTTGGCCATCAGGAAGGGAAACTGCCTATGGAACTCTCGCAAACCAATCAGACTAACAAACCATTCAGAGTGCCATATAAAACCTGGGTGATACAGGAAATGCCAGATGGAAAAGCTGACTCTGGTTTTCTGGCCCCACCCCATCTGTATGAGAAGGACTATCCTGTCATTATGTGCAGTGTTTGATGTTTTCACGTATGTTCCTGTCTCAGGAAAACACTGAAGATTAGCTAGCAACCAGGTGGTTGTATCTCATTGGTAAAAGTCTTGGGATGGTTTAATCTCATGGCTTTGCCTGATGTTCACATAAACCTCACTCTTCCTACCCAAGCTGACAGCGTGTTATTGTTTGTGTATGTTCTATGGCTACTTGCTTCCAAAATGCACAATTTAATGTGAAAAAAAGTATGTTGCTATGCCCATCTCTTCTGTCACCAAAATGAAAAGGCTCACAGAATTCCTCTGCCCACCCTCCAGACACATTGCACAGTGACATTCTCTGGAAGTGTGGAAGGCCACGTACAAAGAGTAGAAGTGAGAAACTCCTGCTGTGCACCAGCTGCCTGAAGAAAAGCTTTGGAGGAGTACAGGAGGCAAGTTGCTCAGCTTTGCTCTTACTGTGCTCATTTGCTGCCACAAAAATGGGTAGACTTTTAAAAGCCATGCTGTGGGTCACCTGTAACTTCTGGACCCACCATGATTCTTCCGCAGTCTCCTTTGCCAAATCAAAGCTTTGCAGCAGGCAATCCAGACACTTGTCACTGGATGCAGGGAATGACACCTCACAGTGGAATGGGCATTGGCAGGCAGGGGGCAGAAGCAGTCCTCTAAGAAACAGTAGCTGTGGCACAAGTAGAGGCCAGTGCTACATACAGATGGCAGCCAGGAACCCCACACGTCCAGCTCGATGTCACAACATGGGGAACATCCTACGTCACCCATTACGGCTGATCAGCAGCCTCCACAGGTGGGTCTTTCAGGAGGCAGGAAGTGGAGCAAGGGTCCATGGCTGAGTGCATTATAGGAATATAAACATCATCCATGTCTGGCATGACAAAAACTTTCTGAAGCTCTTGCTCCAGTTTCTTCTCTATCCAGTCTGTCACGTGAACTAAAGTCACTTCTCTCTCTCCAAGTTTTGGCCGGGCTTTCAGCTCCACGTGGTGGCTTTCGGAAACCATACCATACTCGGCCAGTTGGCGGTGGTGGAATGTTGACTGCCAAGGTTCCTCTGCATTCTTGTACTTCAACAGTGAGCAGCAGGGGTGTGTTGGAGAGTTCTTCAATCTTCTTTTTAATAAACTCTGTCTCTGTTGCTTTTTGGAAATATTTTGACTTGGTAATTTATCAACAAACATTTGAACTGCCAGAGTTAGCTTACAGGACACTTGCCAGAGTTTTGTGTGACTATTTTAAACACTTTAAATGCTTGGAACAGGAAACTGCAGCAGCAGGGACTGAACCCCCTCCAGCCACCACCAGCCTGGAAGAGCAGCCCAAGGTCCACCTAGCCGGAAAAACCATGTCCAAACCAGGAAATGGACAGCCCCCAGTCCCTGAGAAGCCGCCCCTGAAGGACAGCATTTCCACATGATTGACAGCGTCCACTCACTGGGAAAGGTGACCTCAGATGTGGCCGAAAGAAGGAAGCTGAACGCAGGGTGTGGCCTGTCGGAGGAGTTAGGTTCTGCCTGACGTTCAGGAGAAGTGACCCTGGTGAAAGGGGATCTCAGGTCCCTGGAGGAGTGGGGACAGTGGTAGATGATGACTTCAGTATCTACTATGATTTTTACTCTGTGGATGAGCACATGGACTCTGACAGCAAGTCGGAAGTTGAAGCTCTAACTGAACAACTAAGTGAAGAGGAGGAGGAAGAGGAAGAAGAGGAGGAAGATGAGGAGTCAGGGAATCAGTCAGATAGGAATGGTTCTAGTGGCCGGCACAAGGCCAAGAAGAAATGGCGAAAAGACAGCCCATGGGTGAAGCCATCTCGGAAACGGCACAAGCAGGAGCCTCCGAGCGCCGAGGAGCCACGAGGAGTGAACGGTGTGGGCTCAGGCCCCAGTGAGTACATGGAGGTACCTCTGGGGACCCTGGAGCAGCCCAGCGAGGGGACCCTCTCCCTCAACCATGCTGGGGTGTCCAATGACACATCTTCGCTGGAGACAGAGTGCAGGTTTGAGGAGTTGCCCCTGTGCAGCTGCCGCATGGAGGCACCCAAGATTGACTGCATCAGTGAGAGGGCAGGGCACAAGTGCATGGCCATGGAGAGTGTGGACAGAGAGCTTTCGGGCTGCAACGCCACCATCCTCAAGCGGGAGACCATGAGGCCACCCAGCCGCGTGGCCCTGATGGTGCTCTGTGAGACCCACCACACCCGCATGGTCAAACACCACTGCTGCCCGGGCTGCGGCTACTTCTGCATGGCGGGCACCTTCCTTGAGTGCCACCCTGACTTCTGCGTGGCCCACCACTTCCCCAAGGTCTGTGTGTCCCAGCTGAATGGTATGGTCTTCTGCCCCCACTGTGGGGAGGATCATTCTGAGGCTCAGGAGGTGACCATTCCCCGGGGTGATGGGGTGACCCCACTGGCCGGCACTGCAGCTCCTGCACCCCCACCCCGTCCCAGGTTGCCCCCGGGAGAGCAGACACTTCCCAGCCCAGCGCCCGGATGCGAGGCCATGGGGAGCCCTGGCGCCCACCCTGCTATCCCCTGGCTGACACCATCAACAGCTCAGGACCCTCCCTGACCCTGCCCAATGGGAGCTGCCATGGGGCTGCCACTGGGGCCAGGCTGGGAGACCCTGGAAAAGGCCCTGGTCATCCAGGAGTCAGAGAGGTGGAAGAAGCTCCGTTTCCATCCTCGGCAGTTGTACCTGCCTGTGAAGCAGGGCGAGCTGCAAAAGGTGATCCTGATGCTGTTGGACAACCTGGACCCCAACTTCCAGAGCGACCAGCAGAGCAAGCGTAGGCCCCTGCATGCAGGCGCCCAGAAGGGCTCCGTGGAGATCTGCCATGTGCTGCTGCAGGCTGGAGCCAACATAAATGCAGTGGGCACCACTGATGGAGGCCGTGGTGAACAACCACCTGGAGGTGGCCTGTTACATGGTACAGCCTGGCGGCTGCGTCTGTACCAAAGAGGAGGGCGGTTCCACCTGCTTCCACCATGCAGCCAAAATCGGCAACTTGGAGATTGTAAGCCTACTGCTGAGCACGGGACAGGTGGATGAAAACGCCCAGGACAGTGGTGGGTGGACACCCATCATCTGGGCTGCAGAGCATAAGCACATCGAGGTAATCCGCATGCTATTGACACAGGGCACTGACGTCACCCTCACTGACAACGAAGAGAACATCTGCCTGCACTGGGCCTCGTTCACTGGCAGCGCCACCATCTCTGAAGTGCTTCTGAATGCATGCTGTGACCTCCATGCTGTCAACTACCACGGGGACACGCCCCTGCACATCGGAGCTCGGGAGAGCTACCATGACAGCGTGCTGTTATTCCTGTCATGTGGAGCCAAGCCTGAGCTGCAAAACAAGGAGGGGAACATGGTATGGGACCTGACTCCCAAGCGCTCCAACTTGCGGTTTGTGCTTCAACTCAACCGCAAGCTCTGACTCGGGGTAGGAAATCAGGCCATCCACACAGAGAAGATCATCTGGCGGGATGTGGCTCGGGGCTATGAGAACATGCTCATTCCCTATGTCAATAGTGTGGACGGGGAGCCCTGCCCCAAGGATTACAAGCACATCTCGGAAAACTGCAAGATGTTCACCATGAACATCGACCGCAACATCACCCATCGGCAGCACTGCACGTGTGTGGACGACTGCTCCAGCTCCAACTGCCTGTGCAGCCACCTCAGCATCCCGTGCTGGTATGACAAGGATGGGCGATTGCTCCAGGAATTTAACAAGATTGAGCCCCCACTGATTTTTGAGTGTAACCAGGCATGCTCCTGCTGGAGAAGCTGCAAGAGCTGGGTCATACAGAGCGGCATCAAAGTTCGGTTACAGCTCTACCAAACAGCCAAGATGGGCTGCGGGGGGTCCATGCCCTGCAGACCATCCCACAGGGAACCTTCATCTGCAAGTATGTTGGGGAGCTGATCTCTGATGCTGAGGCTGATGTGAGAGAGGATGATTCTGACCTCTTCAACTTAGACAACAAGGATGGAGAGGTGTACTGCGTTGATGCTCGTTACTATGGCAACATCAGCTGCTTCATCAACCACCCATGTGACCCCAACATCATTCCCGTCTGGGTCTTCATGCTGCACCAAGACCTGCGATTTCCACGCATTGCCTTCCTCAGTTCCTGAGACATCCGGACTGGGGAGGCGCTAGGGTTTGACTATGGCGACCACTTCTGGGATATCAAAAGCAAATACTTCACCTGCCAGTGCGGCTCTGAGAAGTGCAAGCACTCAGCTGAAGCCATTGCCCTAGAGCAGAGCCATCGGGCCCACCTGAACCCACACTCCCCGAGCTGCTGCCCAAGCTCAGCTCCCTGCCCCCGTCAACACCTGAGAATGGACCACACCCTTCCTCCCCAGCATGGACGGCCACAGCTCAGCCACCTCCTCTGCCACCAGCTTCTCGCAGCCCAAGCCTGGGGGTGCTGCCATCTTCTCTCTCCACCACCCCTTCACACATTCCTGACCAGAGACTCCAGACAGGCCCTGGAGGTCTGACAGCCCCTCCCTCCCAGAGCTGGTTCCTCCCTGGAAGGGCAGCTTCAGGGCCACCCCCTGTTCCCCATCCTCAGCTGAAGTTTGATGAATTGAAGTCGGGCCTCTATGTCAACTGGTTCCTTTTGTTCTCAATAAATGTCGGGTTTGGTAATTAAAAAAAAAAAAGAAATTAATATATTGAAAACATGTTTGAACCCTTATTTTAATTGCGCCGTTAAAACATTTGACTTAAAAAAAAAAGGCCTCGCTGACCAGCCCCCCACTGTCTAGGCCCCACTGAAGAGGACCGCACTGATGACACCCCCACTGAGCAGGTCCCCTCTGAGCAGGCCCTGATGCCTTGTCCCACTACCAGGCCTCCACTCACCAGGTCCTCACTGACCTGGCCCTCATTAACTGCCCTGCATGAAAAGGTTCCCACTGACCAGGTCCCCCTAACCATGCCCCCATAGAATGGATTCCACTGACCAATATTCCCCTGACCACAGTCCCACTGACCAGGTCCCACCTGACAAGGCAAACGCTGGGTCCCACTGACCAGGCCCCTGAGCAGTGGTGCTCAAAGTTCCCTTCCAATGCCCCCCTCAGTCCACAGACCCTTCCATCCTGTCTGCACCCCCAGGGCCAGGGCCCCTCCTCCAGGATGCAGTCCGCCTCAGGCTCCAGGTACCCAGCTTCAAGCTCACCCCTGTGGCCCTCTGGCCCCTGGCCAACCTGATGAGAACCCCCTTCCCATGCATCTGCTCTGACTTCAACAGACTCTCACCCAGCACAGGCTCGGGACATGGGGTTGCCAGATGCTGGGAGGAGGCACAGATCAGAAGGAAGAGGAGGGAAGAAAGAAGGGAAGAAGAGAGGGAGAGAGAAAGGGATGGAGAAAGGGAGGAAGAAAGGTAATGGAGGGAAGAAATGAAGGGAGGGAGAAAGGAGAGAGAGAGGGAGGAAAGAAAGGCCACTGGAGCCTGGCCATCCAGGGATGGAGGACAGAGGTGACCGCAGACTCTGCCAGGGTTGCTCTGCACAAGCTGTCATGAACATTCCAAATGCCACCAGAACACTAGTCATTTGCTCCCCTCTCCTCTGCAGGCTGAGGTTGGACCTCAGCCCTGCTATGGCCTTTGGGAGGGGGAGGCTGGGAGAGGTTAGTCAGGGGCCCGGGCTGCACAGCCTTCTCCTTTTGTCTGCCCTAGGGTGTCTGGGGTTTCCTGCAGAGCTCTGGGTGGAGAATTAATTGTGTTTAACCAACAAGGAAGAGGACTTGAGACCAAGGAGGAGGTGCTTGTTTTCAAGAGAAAGACCATCTTAAGGATGAAGGAATCTAGACTGCTGGCTCTGGTTCCCAATGTGGAACCTCCTTTCCGAGAGTGGTGCCATCTTTCTTGACTTTTTCTGACCATGAAATGCAACTGCCAAAGATGGCAGAGGTAGGTACCTGGCCTCCTGGGCCCTCACTTGCCCAGTTTTCTTCAGTCCTAGGAGCTGAATCAGTTTTGCTGTTATTTGGTCTTGTTTTTAGAGCATAATATATCCGGTTACAGTTCCACCTATCTGTAGTGAAGACAAAGCCACATGATGTCAAATCTGTCTCTTAGTAACCTAAGGTAAAAATTTTGATTAAATGTTAAAATTATCATAGCCTGGTCTTAAAAATTCCACACATGCGAAGTTACTTTTTAGAGAGTCAATGTGCTGTTGAGTAATGATTTCAGCGACTTCTTTTTATGACTGTATTCAGACTGATTTTTTTCTTTTTGAAACCGTCTCACTCTGTGGCCCAGGCTGCAGTGTGGAGTGTGGTGGCACAATCTCTGCTCCCTGCAATCTGCCTCCCAGGTTCAAGAGATTCTGCTGCCTCAGCCTCCCAAGTAGCTGAGATTATAGGTGTGTACCACCACACCTGGCTAATTTTTGTATTTTTAATAGATGCAGGATTTCACCATGTCAGCCAGGCTGTTCTGGAACTCCTGACCTCATGTAATCCACCTCCCTCAGTTTTCTGAAGTGCTGGCGTGAGCCCCAGCACCCAACCTCAAAGTGGTCCTTTTGTTCATCATTGCTATTCATCAATGTTTCAGACTGACTTTTTACCATTTTAGTACCCAGGGATTTCTGAGGCAGCATAAGTTGGACTTCATTAAAACAGTAGATACTATACCCTTCCAGGGACAATTTTTAAATGTCTAAATGCAATAATCTTATTATTTAACACAGCAACTATGGAAACGTAGAGATTTCAGCAATGCAAGCCAGAATCTCTGTGCTTTTTAAACTAAGCTCCTTTTGAATCTTTGTGGTATTTATCAGCCATTTTTATTTCCATCATAATAATTGAAGAATTAAAACATTTTTTAAGATTAATTGACTTTGGTGTGTTATCAGTATTTTTGCAAAAGACACTGTACTTCGATTTTTTCCTTCAGTATTTAAAATAGTAGAAATTATTTTTGTTTACTCCTTGGATCAACCAACACCAGTTTCACGAACCCTGAGATCTACAGACCTCCCCTGAAAGATTTTAATAAAATGAGTGAAGCACACAGTGGAGTCTTAATCAGTTATGAATATAGATCTATTCAAAAAATAACTGATTATTAAAAGAAAACCTCCAAGCTAAAAAAAAATCAAAAACTAAACTCTCCTAAAAACTGAAACCAAGTGTGTGTCATTACTGATTCTACACTTTAATCCCCTGACTGAAGAGACTCCTCCTTCTCATGCTGTAAGACAGCTTGTGGAAATCATCAAGCCAAGTCTCAGGACACTTGCATGATGATACGATGCTACTGCTGCCTCTAAGGAAATACTATTTTCTTCCCAGTAGACTTCACATAAAAGATGCACACTGAGTCTCCCACCTCCGCATGTGCCAGCATTTTATCAGATGATGATACTGGCTGTTTGACTCTATGACAGCTCATGCTCAACCCCACACTCCCACTGCCAATATACAATCACCATTCTGTTTTACATGCACTTCCCTTTCAGCCTTTCAATAAGAAAATAGGGGCGTGAAGAGAAATAAAAAAGCAAGGTTCTAAAGGCACAAAGTTTCAATGCTGCTCTACTACCTAAACAGAGAACAAGTTTAATTTAGCTAATCCCACCTGTATGAATCTGGTTTTGCATTGCTATAAATACCTGTGAGTGGGTAACTTAGAAAAGAGGTGCAAGTGGCTCATGGAGATGTAGGCTGCACAGGAAGCATAACAGCTTCTGCTTCTGGCGAGGCCTCAGGAAACTTCCAAACATGGCAGAAGGCAAACGGGGACTGAGATGTCTCATAAGGTGGAGTAGGAGCAAGATAGAAGCAAAGGGGATACATTACTATAAAAGATCCACCACCATGATTCAACCACCCCCACCAGGCCCCACCTCCAGCACTAAGGATTACAATTTGACATGAGTTTTGGTTGCAACACAGAGCCAAACCACATTATTCTGCCCTTGACCCCCTAAGTCTCATGTCCTTTGCACATTGCAAAATATAACCATGCCTTCCCAATACGCCCCCAAAGTCTTAACTTATTTCAGCATTAAGGCAAAAGTCCAAAGTCCAAAGTCTCATCTGAGACAAGGGTAGAGTCCTGTTCACCTGCGAGACTGTAAAACAAACAATGAGTTAGTTACTTTGAAGACACAATGCGGGCACAGGCAGTGGTTAAACATTTCCATTCCAAAAAGAAATAATGCTGGAAAAATAACCTAGGACTACACACCTCATGCAAGTCTGAAACCTAGCAAGGCAGTGATTATTTTTTTTCCCTAAGGCAGAATCTCACTCTGTTGCACAGGCTGGAGTACAGTGGCATGATCTTGCCTCACTGCAACCTCCACCTCCTGGGTTCAAGCGATTCTCCTGCCTCAGCATCCCGAGTAGCTGGGAATACAGGCATGTGCCACCACACCCAACTAATTTTTGTATTTTTAGAAGAGATGGAGTTTCACCATGTTGACCAGGCCGGTCTGGAACTGTAACCTCAGGTGATCCTCCTGCCTTGGCCTTCCAAAGTGCTGGGATTACAGCTGTGACCCACCATGCCCAGCTGTCATTAAATCTTAAAGCTCCAAAATAATCTTGACTCCATATTCCACATTGAGGGAACATTGATGTGGAAAGGGCTCCCAAAGCCTTGGGCAGCTCTGGTCCTATGGTTTTGCAGGGTTCAGTCCTCATGTCTGCTCTAACAGGCTGAGCGGGCATTGGGTTCTAGAAATTTTTTATTTAAGTTGTTGATGGAACTACCATTCTGTGATCTAAAGGATGGTGGCTCCCTTCTCACAGCATCACTAGGTAGTGTCCCAGTGGGAACTCTGAGCAGAGGGATCCAACCCCAAATGTCCCCTCTGCACTGCCCCAGTAGAGGTTGCCCATGAGGGCTCCACCCTTGCAGCAGGTTTCTGCCTTGACACTGAGAGTCTTTTGCATACATCCTGTGAAATCTAGGTGGAGTCTCTGAGCCTCCATTCTTGTACTCTTTGCAACCACAGGCTTAAAACTACATGGAAGGCACTATAGCTTATGGCTTGCACCCTCTGAAGAAGTGACCTGAGGTGCATATGGGCCCCTTTGAGACATGTCTTGAGAAGAAGAGAAAGGAGATGAATGCAAAAAGGTCTTTTTAGGCTATGCAGGGAAGTGAGTTTCTGGATCTGGCCCATGAAACAATTCTTCCTTCACAGGCCATGGGTTCTGTGATAAAAGGAGCTGTTGCAAAGCTCTCTGAACTGCCTTGGAGGCCATTACTCCATTGTCTTGGATATTAGCATTTGACCCTTTTTACTTATGGTAATTTATGAATCCTTCTTTTTTTTTAAAAAAAAGATATTTTTTATTGATTGTGTTTTAGGTTTGGGGGTACATGTGAAGAACTTGCAAGATTGTTGTGTAGGTACATACATGGCAATGTGGTTTGCTGCCTTCCTCCACATCACCTATATGTAGCATTTCTCACAATGTTATCCCTTCCCAACTCCACACCCCCCAATGTCCCTCCCCTATTTCCCCCCCACAGACCCCAGTGTGTGATGCTCCCTCCCTGTGTCCATGTGTTCTCATTGCTCAACATAAATGAGTGAGAACATGTGGTGTTTGATTTTCTGTTCTTGTGTCAATTTGCTGAGAATGATGGTTTCCAGGTTCATCCAGGTCCCTACAAAGGACATGAACTCATAATTTTTCATGGCTGTATAGTATTCCATGGTGTATATGTGCCACATTTTCCCTGTCCAGACTATCACCAATGGG